GAGTTACATGTAACACACATCGTGACGTACACACAACACAGTGAATTACACGTCACACACATCACGAGTTACACAAACACACATCACCAGTTACACGCAACACACATCACGAGTTACACACAACACACATGAGTTACATGTAACACACATCGTGACGTACACACAACACAGTGAATTACACGTCACACACATCACGAATTACACGTAACCCACATCATGAATTACACATAACACATCACGAATTACACACAACACACATCATGAATTACATAGAACACACATAATGAATTACACATAACACATAATGAATGACACACAACACACATCATGAATTACATATAGCACACATGATGAATTACACATAACACATAATGAATTCCACATAATTCACACCGTGAATTATATATACCACATAATGAATTACACATCATGAGTTACGGACATGAAATGACGTATGTATTAGATGATTTTAAGTTGTGATCAGGACATCCAAAGGAGGGAATAATATCAGAGCTTAAATTGTGACCACCCGCTATGCAGCGGGCTGTGAATGACCGTGGAAGCCAAAATCCACTTGCAGTGGCCCCCCATGGACTGACGCTCCCATGAATCCCCTCTGACCTCGGTCCAGGGCTGTGAGTAGCCTTGCTGTCAGACAGAGAGCGTGGAAAAGTCACTAGTGCAGACGTGGTTAGTTAAAATGTAGGTTGAACAAACGTGTGCGCTCCCTTCTTACCCATTTTAAAGCTATTTCAACTGTTAGTATTTATTGCTGTCTTTTTGCTTGAGGTTTTTCTGTTCTGTCTAGTCATTGTTGTTTTATGTTTGTTGGTGTTTGTGTTTGCTTTGATTTTCTGCATAGGAAATCCAGGATTGGTGGATCTTTAGAGACAGTCACTGGAGAGGGGCCTGGTAGGGGGGGATGGGGGAAGGGAAACGGGGAGCTAACAACACCAACAAGAAGATAATGTTCTGAACTTGATTGTGGTGATGATGGCATGCATTCCTTTAATATGAGTGGAGGGCTAAGTTGTGTGATATAAGGGGGGGAGCCTTTATAGACAAGGCCTAAGAAAGTCTCACTGAGCAGCGGGCAGGGGGTGGGGAGAGCCCTGGGGGCGTCTGGGGGATGCTGGCAAGGGCAGAGTAAAGACCCTGAAGGAAGAGGTGCCCGTGCGTGCACTCAACACCAGGGATGCCAGTGGGGCTGGGACGCAGTGACTGATGGCAGAGGGGTGGAACTGAGACCCGAGGTGGCAGGAGCCAGCATGGGCCCTGCAGTGAGGTTTGGTTGTAAGGCTACCAGTCTGTCCCCTAGGTGTCCCCTCTTCCTGACCCTGCTCTTCATCTATTCACCCCACAAACCTCTGCTGAAGTTTGACGTGCTCCCTGTCTGTCCCCTGCAGGGTCGGGCAAGGTCATGGACGACGCCTTCTCCTACGGTAAGATGCTGTACGGGGGCTGGGGAGGACACGGGCGGGGGCCTCTCTGACTTCCGTCTTTCTCTCTGCAGACGAGGCCACCCTCCGGAAGCGGGGGCTGTTGGTTGCAGCCGTGCTGTTCATCACTGGCATCCTCATCCTCACCAGTGAGGGCGGGGCCTGGGGGAGGACGGGGAGGGCGGGGCCTGGGGGAGGACGGGGAGGGCGGGGCCGGGTGGAGGGCGGGGAGGGCGGGCCTGGGGCTGGGCACGCAGCAATCGGGAGGGTCAGGCCCAGCGCTGGTGAAAGCTGGGCCAGAAGGCTAGCCCTCAGGCCGCTCTTATTCCAACAAGAAGAGACCCGTGGGTCCCACTCTGCCGGGCCCACACCAACCTGGTGGTGGGTGACAGACAGTAGGGTCACGGCTATGACAAGCAGCCCTGTCTCTGCCTTCAGGGAGGTCAGGTCCGGTGGGGATGTTGACAGCCAGCAGTTAAGCACTTGAATGGGCAGGGCCATTCTACAAAGATCTCTGCCAGAAGGCCAAGAGAAGTGATGAGATGGACAGCGCGGGTGGGAGGTTTCCTCTGAGGGACAGACATCAGAGCGGACTCCTGCAGCAGCTGCTGCTGCTGATGGAGAAACTACACTGCTTCCCCGAAAATAAGACAGTGTCTAATATTAATTTTTGCTCCCAAAGAGGCGCTAGGTCTTATTTTCAGGGATGTCTTATTTTCCCATGAAGAAGAATACATTTATGGTTTATTGCTTTATTAAAAGAGACCGTGCACTTCCTGTCTGCTCCAGCTGCGCTGCAGCCAGCAGTGAACTGCACAGTGGCGCCCACCGCTATGGTCCAAAGTCCAGAGTTACAGTTGCTTGGTGGGGGGGGGCATCTTTTCGGAGAGGTCTTATTTTCGGAGGGATGCCTTATAGTTCAACGAGAGGCAAACCTGTAAGTAGGTCTTATTTTCACGGGATGTCTTAACTTTCAGGGAAACAGGGTAGGTAGAGACAACAGCTGGTGAGAAGCCCTGGGGGCAGGAGTGGCCCGGGGAGGTTGCAGTGTCCAAGAGGAAGCCCTCGGGGCATCAGCATGAGGGGGGGGGGGGGGGGGGAGCAGCATAGGCAGATGGAGCTGGGGAGGTCAGGGAGTGATGAGCAAGGTGGCAGCCAGATGAGACGGGCACTGTTGCACTGTTTTCTGATGTCTCCTTTGGCGTCTACAACCCTCCTCTTACTTTCCCGGGTCCAGCCTCTTGGCTTCCCTGCTGTCCCTGGATCCTCTTTGGATCCCCAGGGATTTGGCACTGGCTGGTCCCTCTGCTGGGAACACTCTTGGTCCAGGTGTTCAGGTGACTTCCCCACCCCCACACCCCTCATGCCCAGTCTCCTTCAAGTCTTTGCTCACATGTCACCTCTTCAATGAGCCAGCCCACGTATCCCCTGAGCGTGCCTCTGCTGGCTCTACCTGGTTTTTAAGTCAACAGCACCCACTGGGCCTCCCTGCCCATGCACTTCCTGGCTTGCTTTTCCTTCATTGTTCTTATCATCATCATCATCATCATCATCATCATCATCATCATCATCATCATCATCATCTGCAGTGTAGATTCTCCACATTGTACTGGCTGGAGGAAGATGAGGCAGGCTTGCTCCTGTAAAGATTGACAGCCTCGGTGGAAACCCAAAGCCCATGAGTAGGCCACTGGAGATCCCCTTGCCCAGGGGTCTCGGGGAGGAGAGGAGTCAGTCACGGGGTGATGTAGCAACGATGAAATATACAACTTTCCTCTAGTTCCTAAATGTTTCCTCCCCGCTCACACTATCATGACACGAATTCTACCTTGCAAGTCTGGCTAGACCAGAGGATGTACACTGGTACAGATAGGAACAGAAAATACAGGGAATCCAGGGCGGATGA